ATGTATTTATATATGTATGTATTTATATATGTATGTATTTATATATGTATGTATTTATATATGTATTTATATATGTATGTATATATATATGTATGTATTTACATATGTATGTATGTGTGCACGTTTATATGTACGTTTGTATGTGTGTAAGTAGGTAGGTATGTATATGTGTGTATGGGTGTGCATGTGTGTGTGTGTTTGTGTGGGTGTGTATATGCTTATTAGTATGTGTTCTGATAATTTATCTTCAGAATTGCTGTTCTTTGTTCAATAATGCTATAAAACTATCCTAGTAACTGAGTATGGTTTTCTGATGTTGCTTATGTTCCAGGGATGCTCGTACACTTCGGATTAAGCTTCCCCTTCACCTGAGCCTGTTTGTACATCCAAAATAAGGAATACACAAAAAACATAAGACAGTCACGGCTGTGCGGTGAAATCCACTGCTTTTGTGCAGTTTTTTGGATATTACGAGGCGAATAGTGGAATGATTTCCGTGCACAGTCAAGCGAACACTGAGGGGGCCACCAGTGAGGTGGAGAGACCCCATGGTAGGCCTGTACGGTATCACGTAGACTCAGAGAGCGCAACAACGAGTTGAATGGAGAAGCTACCAGTTGCCTTGATGGCGTGACATACTGTTAATACATACCCTTGGTAAAGAGGGGACCATCGACCGTCTTACCAGCGAGTGGTTGCTGTTGGCATTTGCTGTCATCTGAATACTTCTGTGTATCTCAGGTATTCATGTCAGTATTTGATGAATGATTTTTTTCAGGGCCTGAATGTCGTGGAAATCGGACGGGCCGCCATCCAGTCATGGCTCATATTCTCCATCGTCCGGACATCATAGTTCTGGGGTAAGTTGTGCTATTCGTATTTTGAATTAGCATTATTTGTTTAGTTCAAATTTGATCCATTTAGATATTTTATTGAAAAAAGGTGTTTGATTTTCTGTTTTTCAAATCTTTTCTTTTTTTTCCTCCTCTCCCTCGCCTCACACAGTTCGATTGGCCAAGTTTTTTTTACACGCTCCTTAACACATTTACCAGTTGAATTCTAGATTTTATCGCCATATTCTATGGATTTCTGTTTTTTTTTTCTCTCTCTCTCTCTTTTTAGTCAAATGGACGAAACAGTGCAGCACGTATTGGTCAACCTTTATATGCTCCGCTTCCTGCATTTATCCAGGTTAGAAGATGATTTTTCATAAATTCGCGGAAAAAAGTTTTGCTAATTTTGCTCTTTTTACAAAAATTTAGCTATTTTTCCAGCATTTTTCTTGACGTTTTATGACGTGACATCCCTGGTCGATTACGTGTTTGATTATATTCTGGGTGAATGGCATTGTAATGAGCACTGAGCACATTTCAAGGACATTTCGAAACGGCAAAGCCTTGCCAAGTGCCCCTCTCGGGCGCACCGTTAAGCTGATAATCCGGGCGGGAATTGAAGTGGACGTCAGGGTCATGCAACAAAGGGTGACCACCAAGCAGTGCAGAGTTGGTCAGAATAATTGGAAAATTTGCCTATCATCAGATGTAGAATTAAGTTGTGAATTGAGCTAATTCAGGGAGTTTTTTGACAGAAAATAGCGACTATAAACAAAAATAATAGAAAGTTTTAACAAAAAGAAGTTATAAAAAGAGAAGAAAGAAAAAAAAGAAAGTAAGAAATGAAAATTAGGAAATTTTGTGAGGCTATTATAATGGTAAGAAATGTTTCGGTCCATTAAACCATCCCTATAATGATAGGTCGGGGTGGCATGAAGTGTTGTGCATTATCTTAATAATGTAATCGAAAATTTTCTGTCTTATTGATGCCTTATACGTTGTTTTTTTTGAAAAACAACAGTCGAAAGGTCACTGTTCTTGTGTTTCAGGTGAAGTCAAAATTTGACTCGGAATGGCGACGATTCTCCTTGCAATTCCAGGATGGTAAACCACCTTCGTATTTGGAATTTCGTGCTTTGGTCGAAGGTCTTCATTCGTTGCACAATGTTCCGTTCACGCTATGTTACACGAGCCATTCGGGCGATCTGTTGCCCATCACTAATGATGATGTTAGTTAACGCTATTCGTTTACCTCTTTCTGTTGTTTACTTGTTTATTTGTTTACTTGTCAACTGTGTACTTATTTTGATAATTCGACTTCTTGGCTACGCAATTGACAATTTTTCCAGTTGCTTTTTCCAGTGCTGCTTCATACTTTGCGGTCGGCCTTCTGGCGATTTTTACGTTCGTTTCACATCCGAAAAGGATGACCAATTCATTGTCGTCTTGATCATTAGGCGGATCCAGGACGGACCCTAGGAAGAGGAGGAGGGAGGGGAGTGGGGATGAGAAGCCCCTCTCATCCTGGAATAATGCAAAAACTAGGAATAGAGTTGTAACACACTGCTACTTGGAGTTACACTAGTTTAGAGTTACTTTAGGCTTTAGTTTGCTTTGGTTTTAGCTTTAGACCTGGACTTTTGCAACACTAGTGTCTGTGCCGTTGGCGAAAATCCCTTTGCTGCCTTCCCCTTGGATCCGCCTGTGGTCTTGAAAGAAGTACTTATCAGGGCTTTATCTGTTTCAAGATATTTCTGGGGTGTTTTGAGTTCTTTCGAACGTTACCAGTTCTAAGTGATGGAGTTACTTTCCCGACCAAGCAACACCTCATTCAGCATAAAGCCTCAGTAAATTTATATACTAAGAATGCCAGAGGTGTGCATGATAGGGAAAAACTTTTCTCCACGTAAATTTTCTAAGCTTTCTTATTTTTCTATGCCTTTACTCACCAGGCTTGTTTGTAGAATTTTCGAAAATCACTGGAATCAGCACGTCCAACTTTGCGACTACTAATACAACGGAAAGGTGAATCATGGGAAGAGAAATATGGCTATGGAACCGAAACAATAGATCGACGTCGTAACAAAGGATTATCGATGTTGTTACCGGCAGCAGTATCCAGAGCACCCAAACGAAACTACAATATCTCAAATCCCGAGGATTTCCGACAGGTTCGTTTAATGAGTAAAATATAGCTGCACCTGCACTTTTTATGCATTTTTGGCATCTGTGCAATGCAAGAACACATATTATCGAGGGGTTGTCTGTGTGTGCGTGTGTGTGTGT